TAAGTTTGGGTGGGACGTCATCCCTTCATGTTCTGTTCAAAATAAGGCTGCAACTATTGGTGATTTTTAACATTTTTTATTTATTTTTTTATTGATAATTTGTTAATTTTTTTTTGAAAAAATGAAAGTTGTGCAGGTCTCTATGAAAATAATTGAAATCTGTACCATCTGGGAAACTCCTGATCAGCCTGTTTCTATTAAGAGTACGCCAACATTTGCTATTTGGAGCATATTTTTCACCAATTTAGTCGTAGAGCAAAATAGCCAAAACTTGGGGTCATGAGATGTGAAGCGATATTAATGGAAGATCGAATAAAGTTTTGAACCAGATTTAACTTCCTACCCAGGGAATGCAGTGAGTTTTAATCTTGATTTATTTATTTTTTTCTCAACAGTTCAAGAGATAGAGACCATGGGGGGCCAGAAGGAATGGAGCCTGATGGTGTCATCGAGGTAAATCAAAGAAAAACATTTTTTTTTCTTTGATTGGTTTCATCTAAATGCAATAAAAGTAGGGATGCACGATATTGGGATTTTGGCCGATATGCCGATATTTTAAAACTCATGTAGCCGATAATCGATATCGATACTGATGTTAAAGCTGGACAAAAATAAGCAGTCATTGAAAATAGCAGTTTTGTTATCCATTTCTGACACTTTGAAAAATAATATACTCAAATATATTTTCATATGCTGATATCAAATAGATTTTTAAAAACGCGGTATCGATCTATTTTACTTTCAAAATCTCGTGAAATTTCATCGTTCTGTTACAAACTCTCATTATATTTTGCAAATTCCTGTGAGATTTTGTTGGTAAAATAGATCGATACCGCGTCAATATATCAACATATAAAAATATGGCAACATTTTGTGAATTTTCGGGGGATTTCGTAGCATAACGATGACATATAGCAATATTTCATTAGTAAAAGAGATTGATATGGTGTTTTTAAATGGCAATATATCAGCATATGAAGATATTGTGATATTTTAATGTATCAATATTTTTTCCCTCGTCTTTAGAAGTTTTTAAGTCTGTAAACAAGAAGTTTTTGAGTAAGAAGTTGAAGAAGCTGATCAAATATCGGGTTAAATATCGGTGGGGTGGCTGATGTCCGATATTCAGTTTTAAGGCCGATACCGATAGGGGGCCCATTATATCGTGCATCCCTAAATAAAATGATTTCCCCCATCAGCCCCCTGAACTGCCTTTGTTCTCTCTTGCCAATACAGAGCAACTGGAACGAGATCACCGACAATTTCGATGATATGAACCTGAAGGAGTCTCTTCTCAGGGGAATCTACGCTTATGGTTTTGAAAAGCCGTCTGCCATTCAGCAGAGGGCCATCATCCCGTGTATTAAAGGTACACATATCAGACTGCAGAGGACAGTTTTCTGTCATTGAGTGAAATGATGCTCAACCATCTTTCGGGACTTACCCAAAAAAATGGGGATATTTTTTTTCCTTACTGATCACTCAATGATTTGATTAGTTTCATTTGAAGTTGAAGGGTGTGTGCGCGTGTGACGTCCATAAACATTTAGCTGTACGTCTGGTTTGTTAGCGTGTTACACAAAGGAATATTTAATCTGTTTCCTCACTGTTAGGCTACGATGTCATTGCCCAAGCCCAGTCAGGAACTGGCAAGACAGCCACGTTTGCCATCTCTATCTTGCAGCAGCTGGACATTGAGCAGAAGGAGACTCAGGCTCTGGTTCTGGCTCCCACCAGAGAGCTGGCTCAGCAGGTATGCTGTTCCTGAGGTCACGCGACCTCAACAGTGTCTCAGACCTAGGCAGCATACTGAGGACACTGTTCAAAAACGAAGGTACCATCTTTTAAAGATTTGTCAAACATTTCTAAACTTTTTCTTAATTTTTTAAAGATCTTTTTGTGGCTGGTGCAGTCTCTGTCCATGGCTGCATCGGCCTAAAAGATCATTTTGGCTGTCTGTGGAAAACTTGAGTGATATGATGGTATACCATCTTTCGGGACTGACCTATACAATGGAGAGTTCCTTCTGATTTACTGATCACTGAACCATTTTCTGCACTCAACAGGCAGCGTATCTTTTCTCAGCTATTCTGAAGTTCTGTACATCTTTTTTCTCCGTAGATCCAGAAGGTAATTCTGGCCCTTGGAGACTACATGGGGGCAACCTGCCATGCTTGCATTGGCGGGACCAATCTCCGTAGTGAAATTCAGAAGCTCCAGGCCGAGGCTCCTCACATAGTGGTGGGAACTCCAGGCCGAGTGTATGACATGCTGAACAGGAGACACCTGTGTAAGCAGAACTGGTTAGAAGCAAAAAAATCATTTTTCTTAAGGCCCAAATTCAGCCTTTTGGGGTAAATTTTCATTTTTCCCTTCTTTTTAGCTCCCAAGTGGATCAAGATGTTTGTTCTTGATGAAGCTGATGAGATGTTGAGTCGTGGGTTTAAGGATCAGATCTACGAGATCTTCCAAAAGCTGAGCACCAACATTCAAGTACGTACCTCCAGACATGATCCCACGTCCTGTTGTCATCGATGCTGCTTGTTGATTGTGCTGGTGAACATTCTGTCATCCAGCTCAGTCATTCCAAAAAAAGTTTAAGAAACCAGTGGACTTGGTTTTCCAAGTTTGAATGCTGCGTTCATTCCGTCCACGAAGCTTTTTCAATTACAATCTGAATCTCTGATTCGTTTGTGTTCATTCAGGTTCACCCCGACCTGCTTCTATTTTTTTTCCTTTTTGTCTGACATCCCATATCCAAGATGGGGCCCAATTCTGATCTTTTCATCTCCATAAAACTCTTTTATTTTTGCCGCTTCCATGTGTGAAACTAAATCGGATCCGTTTCAGATATTTTATATTCTCTGGTCTAGACTCTTGTCGTATTTCGTAGTCTCATCAACGTCCGGGCTCTGACTGCTTCATACAGACTCCTCCAGCTCAGCAGCCACTGCTCCACTCAAACATGTTGAAAGTAGTTCTGCTCTTTTATCAATTTTCTTTATAAATTCCCAGCATTTCATAAATGTGAAGAATGTGTCATTACGTAAGTCTGTTAATTCCTGTATTCTGGCGTTTCCTGTCCGTAACCATTTACCTGGACACAGAGGGGCTTGTAATCTTGGATGAATCTTTAATTTGCGGATTGCATTGAATTGGACATAAACACCAGGCCTGGAAAAAGATGGTCATCTGATCTATATCAATAGAGAATGGGTCTAATTTTCAAAATGGTCAATAAAATTAAGGATTAATATTAAAGCAGAACCACCTGGCATTCTGGGTGATGTAGGCAGATCGAGCAGCAGCAGGGCTGACCTTTATTATCAAGGTAATTTATCTCTTATATCAAATTGGTCAATGGAACACTAGTTACAGATAACGGGTTCATCATTAAGCATTTTACTGCCATATTGCTCAGCTATTCATGCCGCTCACCGGCTGTGGCTGTCAAAGGCTTCAAAAAATGAACATTATAGTTTTGTCTCTGGTTGGAGTCCATTTGACGTTGTACTTATTTGCTGATGAGTTAGACGGCCTCAGTTGAGCCTGGTCCCACCATCAATAAACACGTCCCTGCTTTGTGGACATGAATGTCAACTGTTGGCGATAATACGAGCTACGCATGCTCTTCGGGTTTATTCTAATCTAACCGTTTTTTTGCAGTCTGTTTTTAATTTTGAATCTGAACAATACTAAAATGGTTTATTATCCACCTTAACAAGCAGAGCATTTCACAATCCGGTTAAAAAGGATTTTGACTCCCAAATGAAAATGGTCAGATCGTGCCATTTAGTCTACAAAACAAATCATTCTATCAGATTAAAAATAAGTTGCATTCAGATCCCAGCAACAACAATTTTGTCAAGTTCACTTGTGAAAGTGAAAACAGGCTCTAAGAATATCAACCATTCTGATCTGGGATCAAACTGTCAATCAGCGCCACCTTTGAAAACTTGCACCCGTCCATCGCTGCTCGTCTCATTCACAAAAACCTCATCCTGAAAGACATTTGCATGCTGATTGGACTGTAAAGCAGCATGCCCCGATACTCTATCATGTCCTGCTGGTTCAGATCACAATTTTATCTGTATGATGCATTTTTAGTCCGATCGGCCACTTTTACCTGTGATGCAAAAGTAAATGCTGATTATCATCACTAAGGGGGTAAAAGCCGCCCAGTGTTCTTTGTTTCTTTTTAAACATGTTTATTGCACTTTTTGTCAATTAAAAGGTAAACGCCATAGAACAAGAAGGCACATACATGAAAACAGCCATAATAATAATAGGAAAAAAATAAAATAAAATCTGTACTAAATAAAGTTAAATAATCAGTTCAACTCATCATTCCAGCCGTCTACTTCAATATTAACTTTTCTCAAGGAAATTACAAAACTTTCCAGATCTTCCAAATTTCGTCAAGCTTATTTTTCAGTGTACTGTATCCTTTCTAAAGCCAAATAAAGACGCCCCTTTTAAACGTTGCAAAGTCCTACAAGGTGAATCACTTTTCCACGAACAGAATCTACATATTTTGCCTTTCAAAAAACAAATGCCAAGTAGGGATTTTTTCCTTTTTGGAGGTCACAAAGTTATCTATAGAAAATATTCAACATAACTGGTTTGAGACATGCTTCTTTTCCAATGATCCGACTGGCCAGGTTAAATATATTTTCCCTAGAAGAGAGAATCGAGAATAAAGAACCTTTTTGTTGCTTATATTTAATGTACATATCTAGGGTACTGGTTTAAACAGGATTTATATACTGTCTGTTTATCCATTTAGTGTAGTAATTTAGCCCAATGTTCCTTGCATTTAATTAAATTGCTTCTGAAAACAGCCTGAGTTTGGGAACCCATTAGCCTTCCAGTTCCTTACCAGTCATCCATGTTTTTCTTTAGTTTTTTTTTCCCCATCTGGTTTCATTTTTAACATCCATGTAAAAGTGTGTTAAAGGTTTGGCTAAAAAGTGTAGTTTTTAAATGATGGGAACATCCCGTCCTTCTGCATCTACAGAAGTCTGCTGTAATTGTGTGATCCAGATGATTCTGTTTCACGCAATCATGGCAGCAGATTAAAACGCAGACGGAGATTATGGCGCACTGCCCCGAAAATGAGCTGCAGTCGAACCTCTTTCTTAATGTTCGTTGGCTGCAGTCTCAAGGTGAAGTGCCACAACCGATCCGACCGGTTCTGTCAGTTTCCAGTCTCCTGAAACTCCTTTCGTCTCCAGGTGGTCCTGCTGTCGGCCACCATGCCGGCCGACGTGTTGGAGGTGACGAAGAAGTTCATGCGAGACCCGGTCCGCATCCTGGTGAAGAAGGAGGAGCTTACCCTGGAGGGTATCAAGCAGTTCTACATAAACGTGGAGAGAGAGGTTTGTTTGCACATCTGACACAGAAACCTGTCCTTCAGTCTTCTCTTCAAAGCACCCTGCTCAAACTGCAGGAGCCGAGCCTTCTGGGTCTGGCTCCCGCGGCCGTGTAAGCACGGGTACACCAGGGAAGGAGAATAAAAGCCACGGCGTCGGAAACGAGGCTGGGAGGGACCTCTTTCTTAATGTCCATTTTCCTTTGCCTCAAGATCCCGTGCTACACGTCCCGCTCCCCTTTTTATCCACTCATCAGGGTAACGTCTGTTTCCGCCTCTAGGAATGGAAGCTGGACACTCTGTGTGATCTGTACGAGACGCTGACCATCACCCAGGCCGTGATCTTCCTGAACACCAGGAGAAAAGTCGACTGGCTGACGGAGAAGATGCACGCTAGAGACTTCACCGTCTCTGCTCTGGTATGACCTCGCCCCCATCAACTCGTGATGTTTCTAAAAGCAAACTCTCAGCTGACGGCTGGTTTGGTCCATAGCATGGCGACATGGACCAGAAGGAGCGTGACGTGATCATGAGGGAGTTTCGATCCGGCTCCAGCAGAGTGTTGATCACTACGGATCTCCTGGTTCGTATAACTAACACATAGGAACTTATACTGTGATCCAAGTGGTTTTTCAAATCCTGCTACGGTCTAAAAAATGGCCGAGTGGGAAAAACATTTGGGAGATAAGGGCTCGTTCTCCACAGTGGGTCCTTCTAACGTGGGAATCTGCTACTTTTATGCGGGCGACATTATTACTAATGTGGATAAAAATAGATTTGTGGTTCTGTTTATCCGTCATGTTTGAAACTCGTTTCTTTTCCTCCAAGGCTCGCGGGATCGACGTGCAGCAGGTTTCTCTGGTCATCAACTACGACCTTCCTACAAATCGAGAGAATTACATTCATAGGTGAGTTGATTCAAACGCTCCGAATAAAAAAAGGAGGGGAATAATCCACGGAAGGAACTAACGCGGCTCCTCGTCTCTCCGCAGAATCGGCCGCGGCGGCCGTTTCGGCAGAAAAGGAGTCGCTATCAATTTCGTCACCGAGGAGGACAAGAGGATTCTTCGGGACATCGAGACGTTTTACAACACAACCGTGGAGGAGATGCCCATGAACGTGGCCGACCTGATTTGAGCCCCGAGGTTCTCGTTTGGGTTTTTTCTTTTTTACGCAGTGATAGCGATCGTTCACTTTGCATTGTGCTTATATTATTCGAGGGGGAAAAAAAACCAACTTCTCAATGCTAAACCTTGGATCAGATTTTTGGTATGCGTTAAAAGCTAGGTGACCTCGGTCCCTCCTGGACAGTTGTAGATCCTAACCTGGGCTGGTTGGAGCTACAAAGCCATGGGGTCTGTAAACATTAGGGTCCTTATCAGGTATTTCCTTTCATGTTTAAATAAGATGCGTGTATTCGATGTTCTCCACCATTTAGTAACTTACTTGTGGACTAAAAGGTATAAGTGCTGTATAAAGTCTGCAAATTATGTTATGCTAACATATGTGCGATGTCTTGTTGGCCTGCTAAATAGAGGCACTTGTCATGTTATACTGTAGAATCACTTGCTTTGGTTTCTTTTGTGAATGTTTAATTTAAATGTATCATAAATATTTTTTTTAATCCCATATATTATATCAGAGTTCCTGACCAGTCAGCCACGTTTTGCTGACTTGGTTTTACCTTAACAGAGTATATTACCTTTACCCCACAGACTCCTTTTCAGATTTTCTCCTCTCCTGAATTGTATGAATGTCTTAATAAATAAATTAATGTAAGTAAAGTTTTTTTTTCTGTTGGGTGTATTTCAATGTGAAGGTTTTCAATTTTTTTTTTTTTTTTTTTTTTTTAAGTCTATGGAGTGAATTTTGTTCCTTTGGAGGTGAATAACTTGTTTTGTAAATTGGAGGGAAGAAATGGAACTTTAAAAAAATGTTTTATTTATAAAATGGGTCGTGGGACTAACTGCAATTTATTTATTTTTATTAAAGAAATTATTTCACAAATTTTCATATTTTCAATAAAATTATTTTTCCAATTTCTTTTTTACAGGTTTTGTTTTTATCAGATAGACTTATAAATGATGTCACGGGTCGTTTTCTCAGTGCTCATTACTGACCCTCCCTTTCAACGCCCAATTTAAATAATAAAATTGTTATTTCTAACATGCATCTTCTCTCCCCCCCCAGAGGAACGCCAGGTCCGAGAAATACTTCAAAAACCAAATTTTATCAAACTTAAAATTCTAGCAAACCACAAAAACTGGTTGCAATAAAGCTGTTTCAGGTTTTTTTTTATTTTCCTCTCTGAATATTTTCAAGTTTCTTTTCTTGCAACACTGAAACAAAATTCACTCCAATGGATTTAATGCTGCCCTGTGAAGTGCTAAAAATGTGTGTGGAGCTCCCTCTACTGGCAACAAGGAGTAACATTTGTTTTATAGGGCAATTATGTGTAATATTTACCAAAAATAATTGTCAGGGTTTCATTGGTCAGTGTCTAGACTCATTTAAGGCACGAATGCCCTGAACTAAAATATTGTAAAGAAATGATTTACATTTTTTCCTTCTGACATTTTGACTAACATTTCTGTTTGTATGGAGGACCTGCAGTCTGTTAAGAAGAAAACCTGCAATTTCAAATTTGGCATGAATTCATGCAATTAGAAAAAGCATTTTCTAATTGGACAATTTTTAATTATTAAAGAGGAATTGTAATTTTATATTAAATAGTTGAATTTGAAATTGTATTTTCAAGTATCCAAATTAAAACGTAAACACTAATTCATAAGTGATAAATTGAATAAGCACATATTAACATTTTCAACTCCTTGCTTTTCTACGTGAAAACATCACAGCTGCTCTCTGTAATTAGTTTCTTAGTTTTTAGGAAAGCTTTTTAACAGTTTATTGAATTTTGGCATTTAAACCTCTATTTAGAAATAGGATTTTTAAATTGCAGTATTAATGGATTGATAATACAATTTACACTCCCCCTTTAATAATTCAATTAAAATATTCAGTTAGAAAAATATTTTGAATTAAGATTTCAAATTGCATGATTTTGATGCTAAATTTGAAGCGTTTTTATTTTTCAGTGGCTCATCCAAACATATCAGAAGAGTTTGAAAAAATCAGAGGTATTTTAACTGCTACAGCAATCCTAAATTAGACTAAAAATAAAAATATTTGTGATTCAGGAAACTTAATCTGAGTTTTTTTTTTTTAAATATAAATTTATAGAGTATTTGTTTAAACACCTTGGATCCACTATCATCTAGGTTAGTGTAATTATTATAAAGCTGCATGGCTGATATGTCGGAGAAAAAGGCTCCTCACAATTTAATTAACCTGATTATTAACCCTGCTGGATGGTAAAGTTATCCATTCTTTGCTTTTCTAAATGTAGAACGGCCAACCGACCAAAGGATGAATAAGTTCCCCGCCCCATAAAATAAAACAACATAAGTTAATTGGTCTCTGGCCAGTTAATGGGAATTGGCGCCCTCTCGTGGTTTGTACAGTGAATTACTGGAAAGGGTCTTTTTTTTATTTATTTTTTATTCGGTGCAATATTAAAGGGATATTTCTGTTCCCTGATTTAATTAATTTAACCCATCTCCTTTGGAAGCAGTGGGCTGTCATCGTGGGGCGCCCGGGGGGCAGTGTCGGGTTAATTGTCAACCTCAGAATTCCAAGCTCTATGCCCTAAGTCCTAGACCGCTACTCTCCAAGGTAGTTATTTCACTGAGTAAATTATTTTTGACCATATATTGTTTAAAATAATTGGATTAAACTAAACCACAATTCCTTAAAACTGTCTGGAAACCATGAAACTCTTGATTCTATAAAATCATATGCACGGTGAAACCATTTCAACTTTATTTTAAATTGTTTAATAATGATGAAGGAAAATAAAAGTTTTTAGTATTATCCAGGTTTCTTCAAAGCTGTAGATGCTGATGGTTTTACGCAGCCTGCATCGCAGCCTGCATCGCAGCCTCTGTTCTATAAAAGTGACGAAATGGAAACTTTCTTTGCATGACCATCTGAACCACAGCAGACCCTACGACAGAGTCGCTCTTCTTGATCAGTCTGGTGAGCCTTTTTAAGGCGTTGGATCTGATGCTGCTATCCCAACAATAATGGCATCCTTTTTACAGAATAGAATAGAATTCTATTTTATTATTACACTGTCACAAGTACAAAGTAAAAATATTTTTAACCTCTATCTAGAAGTGCTATACAGGATATAAATATTTTTTTGCGTGTACAAAAAGCTATATACAGTATGTATTCACTATAAAAAGGTATATATAAACAGAGAGTAATTCTAAGAGGCTATAAAATAAATAAATATGGATATCTACTTCAATAATCTAAATTATGACTTATAAGTCTGTTTTTTACACAACAGTGAATTTTATCTTTAACTGCTCTGACAGCTCAGTTGTCTGGACTGACGAAAAATCTATTAGTTGCTCTGATTTTCCTACATTTGATGTTTCCCTTTGACTACATTACCCATAATGCAACAGAACTACTTACAGACCATTAATGCTGCCTTAATATGATCTGGTCAAGAGGATCCTTTCCACTTCTAAAGTGGAAATTATCCCAGCGCATTGTGTTCAATTACTTTTGAATAGAAACATATTGGATCCATAGATTATTCTGATTATCCTTGGCTCGACAATAATAGACTTCCTTCATCTGCTACAGGAAGAAGAGGATGCATCAAGACCGATGGCAAGCCTCTGATAAAATCAAAGTTTAAATGGTCATATATATATAAAGATATATACATATATTTACTGGGTCCATCTGTCCGCCTTTCATGACAATTAATCTAGATTAAAAAAATGTATCTATGCCCACTTGTAGTTTTTCTTCAAACAAATGTAAACTACAAAAATCCCAGGAAATTCAAGTAAATGGGCAAAAAATAAAAAATGTAAATAAAACAAATATTTCGATCTAAAATTTGATTCAAGTGAGTCTAATACTATAATTTTTCCCACATCTTCTGTGTTGCATATCTAGTTTCTCTCTGGCCTGTAAAACGCTGTTAAAAAACTTGAATCATTAAATAAAACAGCCATAAAAATTAATGATAAAAACCTGGGAAAAAAAAAAATCTTCTGGGCATTATTTGCTGAAAAGAGATTTAATATCCCCATATAAATATACATTTATGTGCATATTTTAAAATGTTGACATGTTTCCTTT